ATGAGAGTCAGGAATTTGTTTCCTTTCCTTTTCTTCTTCTTGGGAAAGCTCAGTTCATTGTTTAGGATGAAAAATAACAACCAGATGAAGGAAAGGAGAATCATCAGGAATGATAAATAATACGTTCCAGATGTGGCCACAGAAAGCTGCATCTGAGGAGCACTGTGGCCTCTACGCAGTCACCTTGCAGGGCTCCCCTATCCCAGTGAGTGCAGTGACACAGGTTTCTGCAGCTCCTCTGCTGGTGTCGCCCCCAGGGTATGACTTAATTTTTAAATGATCTTTATTGGTATCTTTTGACTGTTTTTTTTGGAATCAGGCCTTAAGAACTCATAATTAATTGTGATTGTCATGAATATTTTGTAAATTGCTTCTAAAGTAAAAATAAAACAAAACTTTCATGTGTGTGATGCTGGAGATTGAACCCAGGGTCTTACTCACACGAACTAAGCGCTCTACTACAAAGCCATCCCCAGCCCTTCTTTTTTTTTCTTCCTCCTCTTGCTTTTTCCTCTTTTTGTCCTTCCCTTTCTCCTTCTCCTTATTCTTATATTTTGACACAAGGCCTTTATAAATTGCATACACTAACCTTGAACTTGTGATCCTCCTGCCTTAGCCTTCTGAGTAACTAAGGTTACAGGTGTGCACCACCACACCTGGCTCTGGCTATAAAATCTATTTACTGATTTATTTAGAGACAGGATCTTGCTGTGTAGTGCAGGTTGGTCTCGAACTTGTGGCAGTCCTCCTGCCTAAGCCTCCTGAGTGCTGGAATTACAGGCATGTGCCACCACACCTGTCTTGTAAAGTCAAATTTTAAAGGAGTCCTTGTAGAAATGTTTCAATTACTAAAGGTACATATAGAATAAATACATATATGTTCTTCTAAGAGGATTGTTTTGAAAGACAACTCTTGCTTGTTTTGCTGTTTAAAGAATCTAACCACAGACATAGGTCCCATAATACATTCTATATAATTCTATCCTACATAGGAAATATGTTATATTCTATATAGTAAGTAGCCACTGCTTCCTACTGCTCCAATGAATGGATGCCTCTGACAAGGCACCACGAAACTGAGGCCTGGAGATTGTGTCCACACAGCAGGGCCTAGCGAAGAGTGGACGCAGTTATCTAGGGAGAAGGCCAGGGCCTCAGCTTACACTTGAACATTGTCTCATGATACTCCTATCTGGACTTGCTCTGTGTTTATTCTTTCCAAAGATTTGTTCAACTGGGAAGACTGTGAACAGACTTTTTTGGTAAGTCAGGAGATTAATTTCTTAGCTTGGTTCTCTGTCATTCACCTGCAAAAAATGGACACTAAGGTCTAAGAGAGAATCTGTCAGTTTGTGAATTTTGGTTTTTTTTGTTTTGAGTCTTGCTCTAAACAAAACGAGGTACTCCTCTCTTTTTAATAAGCTAGAGGTTTATAGACACCCATTTTTCTGAAGGTGTATGAAAAACTTTAGATTACTTTTACAAATAATTATAAAGTGATAGGCTAGTTTGTGAATTTTATCAAACTATACTTTTCACAGAATTGGAAGGGCTGAGCTCACAATGAATGTACACAGTAACTTACAACCATTATTAGTTAGCCTAAATGAAGAATTCCAATGAAGAAGTTTCTGGAACTTCTCTTTCCCGAAGAAAGCCCAGGAAGAAATGGCTAAGCCTCAGATCTAAGAGACCAAGTCACGCGAGTGTTTGCCTGATATGGGTGTGGCTTCTTTGTCCCTCTTGGACCCTGCCTCTGGGGTTGTGCTGGGTGTGTGTGTGGAGGGTCACAGGCGTGATGGCCGGGGCTAAGATGGAGGGAAGGGTGGGTTGACCTCCAGGAGGCCCAGCCATGCGGAACGCACAGTGCTCCTTCGCTGATAGACCAAGCTGCAAATCAGGAATTTATTAGGAGCTGAGACTCATTTTCCCACCCTTTATAGCCCTGACGACTCAAAGCCAAACTCTGGCAAGGGGCTTCCTCATGGTTTTAATTAGACAATTAATTTTTTATTGGGTCGTTTGATTTCTGGAGCCGATTCCACTCTCCCTGTTGTCTCCCATCTGCCTCCCAGCTGTGAACAGCCAAGGGGAGATGGGAGATTCAGGGAGGGCCTACAGGAAAAACACCCGTCTGCCTTTGAGCTGATTTAGGAGTCACTGAGTGGGGAGGGGTGGGAATCCTACTGCACCCTCGGCTCCCTTGTCTGGCACCAGAGACACTATCCAGAGCACCACAGCACTCAGAGCTGCTTGCAGAGCTGCACAAAGGCATTCTCAGCCGTTCCTCCCAAGCTCCTCCCAAGCTGGTGGGCTAATTAGTAACACGGGTAGGATGGGGGAAGGAGCAAGGAACATGCCTCCAAATACATCAGTGGCATTTCTGCCGTTAATCCTGGCTGTGCTTGGAAGCTGTTTACCCTCCACCCAAGGATTAGGAACCTGTTTGAGTTAGAGGGGCAGAGGGAGGCCAGGGCTGGGCTCTGCCTCCCACCTGCTTTCAGGAGCTGGGACAAGGGCACTGAGCCAGCAGATGAAAAAAGAAGTGAGAGAAACCTGTCTCCAATCTGTCTCCCCTTATTGATCTCCTGCCTTCCAGCCGCTCCAGCTGCTTTTGAATCTTGATCCTCTCCACCCAGACTTCACCCCTCACCACTGCCCTTGTCAAATAGCAACCTGGCTTGGGAAGGTGGGAGGAAGGGGAGACAGTGGGGGCCCCAGGTTTCTGCAGAGGAGAGAGTCTAGGTGTGAGGTCCTCTGCCTGTCGTACTCCTGGAGTGCTCCTGGAGTGGGGAGACCCCTCCCAAGATTTCTCACCATTCCTGTACTACAGCTTGAAAGGAAGAAAAGGCGAGGTTCTTGGAAGAACTTTACTTTCAGCAGTAGAAACAGGCAGCATCTTCCTTAGAATTTTATGAGAATCCAAGTAAGACTTTATTGTAAGACTTTATTGAGAGCAATATTCTCAGAGGCCTTGAAGTAGAATATAGTGAGAGGGTTGTTTCCTCAGGTGTCCTGTTGGTGGGGACATTGTCACTTGTTGTTCCAGCACAAGGGCTCTTCCTGGAAGTGTGTGCTCATACATGAGCAAACACACACACATACATGTGCAGGCATGCATGCCAACAGGTGTGACCCCTCATTATATCCAAACTCCCGGTTATCTGCAGGAGGGTGTGCCACCCACACCCCACTGGAAGCATACTTGGAATCAAACTGAGGGACATCTGCAGACACAAAAGTGGGCTAAGCAGCTTCCAAGGTCCACAGAGGCAAAGTAGGCCCTTCAAAGGAGTATACCAGGATGTCTGAACAGGGGCTCTGGTGACCCTTCTTGTCCCCCAGGGTCTCCTGGTGTGTCAAAGCAACATCAGCATTGGCGATTGTGTAACACTCCCCACGTTGTGCCTCTCCATGGATCTGGGAGAAGGCCAGCTTACCTTGAGGTCCAGTACTGCAAGAAATACTAGCTCATGCTTCTACTGGATCGTGAAGGACACAAAAATAAAAGGAACCAAAGATCAAAGCACCGTGTGGAAGCCCAGCTTGCAGACCTCTGGCTCTAGGATTTGTTCTGTAAACAGCTTTTTTTGGGGAAATCATGTTGAGCAGTATCTCTGCTAGGACCTGAGGGAGTTCCATACTGGGAAGGGACAGCCCAGGGACAGGCCTTCTAGGTTTAGTGGTGGTGGAACTCATGTCTGACAGCCAGTCTGCTGCATCCTAAGTCACACAGAAACCCAAAGCAAGTGTCAGAAAGATGGGGGGAGGGAGCCCCTTATCACCCACTGGTATCTGTTTCCATGTCACCTGTGACAGAGAAATGAACTCAGAGCTTCAGGACTAGAAGTACTGGGCTAAGGGCAGTGCTGTGTGTACATGTGAGGATCCAGGGATGCTCCAGGTACCATGAGAACAAAGGGCAAGGGTAGAAAGCGAAGCTATCGGAGTGGCCATGGGTGGGGACCAATGTCCATCTGTAGGGAGAAGGGAGAGGAAGAGAAACTGTGAAAGGAATAGGAGATAGGGAAAAAATTAAAAGGAAGACACTGAAAGAGCAAGGGCTGAGAGAGAGGCACACAAAGAGAGGCCGTGAAACACGGGGCAGTGGGGCAGGGTGATGGGAGGCAGGAGGGGGCACCTTGGGAAGGCCAGCAGGCACCACCGTTGGCCAGCCTGTGCCTAGGGCGCCAGGCAGGAAGGCAGGGAGGGAAGGGGCTGCAGAGAAAGATCCCACTTGCTGTGTGGAGGAGGGGGCGGCAGTGGAACTTGCCTCTCCCGGCTCACAAGCTAATGGCATTTCCCCTGCCCTTCTCCCTGAGCCCAGGGCTGAGATTGACGGGACTGCAGCTTCTCTGGGTCCTGGGTGGATTTGAATAATTAAGTCATCTGGATTCTTATGATTTACCATTTTCAATGATAAATAGACAGCGCCCAAGCCAGCCAGTTGGCAAAACTCTGGCTGCTAGTTATAATTTGTCAAGCTGCCAGCAGATTCATGTTTTATGCTAATGGAGAAAGACTCATTGACTAGGGGGAGGCAGTGACCCGGTCAGCTCTTTCCTCAGGCCCCCCAGAGGTCGAGAGGTCAGGGAGGGAGGCCGAGGCGCATATGGATTTTCTGTAAGGGTCAGTGTAATTTTATAATAATTCAGCGAGTACACACACTCTTGCATACACAGAAGGTCACATATGCAGAGATATGTTTGGATCTGGAGGCACCCATGTCCCCCTCCACACTCACACCTGCACCCACACCTGTGCAGGCTCCTGGGCCCAGTGTTTTGAGCCTCGTGGATGTGCACATTTGTCTGTCCTTCTTCAGCTCACTTCAATATGAGCAGCCTTGCAGCTGCCTCCAGGCATGTGATTACTGAGACAAACTCACAGACTTCCTCAGAGACCTGGAGAAACACAGATCACACACACACACACACACACACACACGCATACACACACACACACCCTGACCAAGCAACACCCACAACAAAGATGGAAGCTGTTTTTGGAGGGCCCTTGCTGGCTATCCCAAACCTTTATTTCAAGCTTTGTGTGTATCAATCCCAGGAGGAGGTTTCTCTTATTTCTACTTTAATAGTTTTCCAGTGGGAAGAACCAGTGGCTTGGAATCATCCTGCTTTTCATCTGTCTGGGGCTGTGGATCTGGAGCTGGGAAGACATCGGCTCTCAGACCGGGCATGTAAAAGGCTGCACTGAAAATCACGAGTCCACGGGGGCTGGGGATTTAGCTCAGCGGCATAAGCACCTGCCTTGTAAGCAGGCAGTCGTGAGTTCGATCCCCAGTACCGATAAAAATGAAAAAGACAAAAAAAAAAAAAAAAAAAAAAAAAAAAGAAAATCACGAGTCCAAGCCAAATTTCCGTTGGTCTGTTTGTATATTTGTCGACACATGGAGGCCTCATAGTGACAAGAATCTTCTGATAGTCATGGCAAACTCAGGCCTACACAATGCTTCGTACATGGCAGATATGTAATAAGTATTAACAGAATGAGCAGCTGAAGCTACTGACTGCTACACAGAGCAAACTGCTCATTTTCCCTTCCCTTCCTCCGCCTGAACAAAGCTTTACAATTTGAATCATCACTGACTTGATCGGCCAGAGAACAGGTGTGAGTCTGGGCAAGGATCTCATGTTCCTTAGGGTAAGAGATCTAGGCCTTTGGTGTGATAAGAAATGCTAATTTTTACACATCTGGTCTCACTTTTGACCCCCAAGTGCCCTCAGAATGGATCAATGAGCAAAGGGGGATTGAGGAAGGAGCATCTGCCCTTCTCCTGCCTGGAAAAAAAATTGAATTTGCTTCGATGATGGGCAGGGCTGGAAGCTGCAGTTCATTACTATCAGCAGCTGTGAGGTTGGGGGGCACAGGGCAGGATAAGGGGAATGGGGAGAATCATCTCATGTCCCTGTCCCCCACAACCCCCAAATGGGGAGAAAAACATACCGGCAAACTGAACAGAGCAGAGGCCAAGGCAGCAAAGAGAACCCAAAGGCAAAAGCTGCTTTCTGCGCAGACTCCAGGATGCAGCAGTGTCAGGGCTCTGCCTGCTGAGACTCCGGATCCTGCGAAATGAGCTGGGCTCTCTCCTTTCCTGCGGCCCGCCCGGGTTGGAGCAAAGAGATTGTTCTGCACTCGCTTTTTCATGGCCTGAAATGAGCTGCCTGCCTTTGTTGCCCAGCAGATGTGGAAGGCAGTGGGCCTGGATAATCAGGGATGATCCGTGGATAGATGCTCAGGAGCCAAAATCATTCAGTCTCTCCATCCAGAGGAAGATGACTCCTATGTGTACTGGGAATAGGAAAATACGCTTTTCTTAATTAAGAGCTTGAGTTTCCAACCTAGTATCACTGACCTCCCCTGCTCTGAGAGCAACAGCTTTGGGGTTGCTGGCAGCTCTCTCCTAGAAGCAGGGACAGCCTGCTTGGCTGAATGGGCCAGGGAAGAACTATTTGCAAAGAGTCAAGCTAATGTGAAGGTCATAATTGTGATCGATCAAAAAGACAGGTTGGCCGGGGATATAGCTCAGTGGCACAGTGCCTGCCTGGCAAATGTGAGGCCGTAAGTTTGATTACCGATACACTTAAAAAAAAAAAAAAAAAAGATCAGTTGGTTCATTTTGCACCTGGGGAGCAAAGCTTGCTCTCCCATTTAACACCTGATTTCTGAATCCTAATATTTGCATACCCACAGTGAACTCTTAAAGGCAAGATGTGTGATGTGTGTTGGCTACCCTGAAGTAAGGCAAAATCTTTTGGGATATAAAGACAGTACAAACAAAGCAAAACAAACAAACAGAAAAGAAAAGAAAAACTACAACAATTCCAGCATGGAGTAAATGAAAAGGGAAAAAGAACATGTGAAAGGAAGGAAAGAGAAAGAAACGGAGAGAGAAAAGGAGAAAGGATGATAAATGAAGAAGCCAGGGAAAAGACAAGAAGACAAGCATAAAAAACAATGTTAGGAAGTACTGAACAGAGGCCTCCTAGAGAGGGCATTGCAAGAATTACTAAAAAGAGCCCTGCAGCTGTGGGCTTGGGGCTCTTCCATCCATTTTCCAGGGTTACAGTCTTGGAAACCTGGCTGAACCCAGCGACCTGGCCTATCCCACTCTGGGGAGACATGGAGGATTATTAAACTGGATTTAAGAAGTCTGAATCAAATTGGGCAGTTGCCACTGGGGCACAGGAGCAGGGCAAAAGGATGTAGGCCCAGTAGGCAACAGATATGTGAGGACCCGAGGTGATCCTCTCCATAGGTTGCATCTAAAATCATTTTGCCAGTTCATCTCTTTGTGTAAATTCTGTAAAATACACCACAAACCTGATGTCTGCTTGCAGATTTAGTAGGGATTGTCATTATTCTTTTCCACTTTTTTTCCTCTCTGGCTCTTCCAAGATTTGTAAACTCAGGCCAAGGTCTTTGCAGGCAAATCCAACTTTTTCTTGACCTGAAAGGTATTTTCCAGAGCAAAGATGGAGAGTGTAGCAAACATTCTACCACGGTTGGAAGATTTTTCTTCTCACCATTGGGAGAAGATAAGATCCTCTTCATATCTAACGAGATCAGGCCTTATTGTTTTCCCCTTCTTACCTATTCAGAAAGGCTAATTGGAAGACAAACAGAAATTACAGAACAATCCTTCAGTGCCTGGCCTCATTTGATAGATACTCAAATTAAGATTTAGGTCACAGAGCCAGAGTGCTGCAGAGCCTGGAGCAAGGCTGCCCGGTCACCAGACAGTCTCTGCCAGTCAGGCCAGAGTGCAGAGCTCAGGTTTGCCAGGGAGGAGCCTGAACCAGAAGAGACTATGCACTCCGCCTACCCCTCGTGGCTTCTGTACACCACGTCTGGGTTGTATCCTGATTATCATGGGGCCTTAAGGTATACAGAGGCCGGGCATCAGCCAGAGCAGATAGCAGGTACCTGCTGTGGGGAGAAATCCTTCTCCAGTACACTTAGCTGCTTCACAAAGCTGATTCTCAGGCGGTGGCCTAGGCCTCCACCTCCTGGTGGTCAGCTGCTGGTCATCTGGCTGCAGGCTGGTCACACAGGCTAATTGCCAGGCTCCTGGCACCTGGGCTGGCACAGTGGTGGTGGAGGTCAGCTTGGCTCAGAACCCTATTTCTGCTCTCTCTCTTTCTCTCTCCTTCCCTCTCTTTTGCCCTCTTCTTCCTTTCTCTTCATTTTTTGTATCTTTTTCCCCCTTCTTTTGGGAGGGCATTTTTTCCTGCCCTGTCTTCACTTTTTCTCTTTATATTCTTCCCTTCCTTTAGCTTTCTTTCCTTCCTCCTTCCTCTTTCCCCCTTTCTGTCTGTCTTTTATACTGTCTTTCTTTTTCTATCTTTTTCTTTCTCCTGTTTTCCCCTCACTTTCATTTTCTTCCTATTTTTTTCTAGCTTCCCCTTTCTCTCATTTGGTCTTTCTTCTTCCTGCTTTTAATCCTTCTCCCTAAAAAAAAAAAAAAGAGAACTACCCCTTCATGCTTCTCTCCATATTCCTCCCCTCCCCCCCCCCATCCTTCCCTCTGACTCCAGCACTGTCTCATGTCTTTTCCTCCGCTAGGCTCTTTGCTGTTGTCCTGGATTTTCCAGTTCTTTGTGCAGTTTTCCTAGGTCTTCTTCCTATCTTCCTTTGTTTATAAACTGCCTCTCTGCAGTAGGTATGTGGCATAAAGCTTCCCCTCAAAAGGAGGGCACCAGCGCAGCTCCTTCATGACGTCCTTTTCAGCTCTCCTGGGCTTGGGCCTTCATTCTCTAGGGCTCAGAGAGGGGGCTGCTTCCCCTGCTAAAAAGCACAGTTCCTCACCACTGGTTCAGAAAGTCTTGCCACACTCATCATTCCAGCAACCCTAAAAAGAAGGCAGAAAAGCAAAAGCAAAAAGAAAAAGAGAGACAACCATGCAGATCTAAGCCATGGGGTGGGGCACAGTACTGAGGAGGCAGGAGCAAAAAGAACCGAATTTATCAACAGGAGAGGGGGCAAAGCCTGGGACCAGGCGCCCTCTCTAGAGCACCCAGAGTCCAGCAGCCTTTAAAAAGAAGCCCACATCAGCTGCAAGGCTGGCTTGGGGATTGGGGAGGGATGAGACCTGACTTCCAAATGACTATAGAAGTATAAAAAGGACTCCAGGCATAGGAGGAGAGAAAAGGTCTTAGATTTGCTTTGAATATCAGTGGCTTTAATGTCTGCCCCAGGCCTTCTCAAAGGTCCACTGTGGGGGGACCTTCTTAAAGGTCCAGTGTGAGGGGGGACCACTACAAACATGCTCCAGGGAGTTCAGACTGCAGCCCTCTAAACGTCAGGCCCAGTCCTGGAGTACTCTGGAAGCGGGTGCCAGGACAGCCACAGGAGCATTGCAGAAAATCCTCAATAACAGAGAAAACAAAGAAATGGAAGGGTAGATTTGCCTCTGCAGGTGCCCAGCCATCATGGCCACAATCACCACACACTCGACATGGGAATCTTTTCTCCCTAGCTCCAAACTGTGGTCCAAATGCACCATCCAAATGCTGTCCTGACTCCTCCAGCTGGGAATGACCCTGGAGGGCCCTGTCCTGCACATCCCAGGCACAGATGACCCTCCCCGCAGCGTGGGCTCCAGCTGGGCCTCCTGCAGCAGGCTCCAGAGACTCCTGGGCCACAGTGCACCTGCAGCTGCCTCCACCAGTCTTTGCTCCCAGGCTGCTTTGGGCTCCACATGCCCACCCCCCTTGTCCCTGGCCTTCACATTCAACTGAGTCCTCTGACTCACTCTCTGCACTCACTTTGAAGAACCTCTGTTACCCCTTCCTCTTGCATCTCATGGGGTGGAGCAATCTCAGCCTGAGAGAAGGGTGAGGCCTCCTTTCTTTGCCCTCCTTTGTGTGTGTGTGTGTGTGTGTGCGCCCACGCGCAGAATCGAACTCAGAACCTCACACTTGCCAGGCAGGCGCTGTACCACTGAAACTATATCTCTGGTCCCTTTATTCTCTCTTCAGGCTCTGGGGAAAGTAAGGACATTATGCTGTATGGAGAAAGTGCAACTACACCCGTGGCTCCATTTTAGGGAAAAGGGTTCTCCAGTCAAACTGGAAGGGAAGGTAGAACATTTGGGAATTGTTACCTGGGCCACTCCTCACAAAATATCAAAACGTCCCAGGACTGCAGGGGCCAAGGTAGCCCAGGCCCACCCAACCCCTTCGCAGCCAAGGCAGAGGAGGGGCTGATACTTCCCCAGAGTATTTGGGTCCCTTCCCTTCCGCAGGCCCCCTTAGGGATCTCCAAGCGTCTCTAAGGGCTTGCAGGGGCGAGCAGGTTTGGGACAGGCCGGCTCTTCGTGGGGGTAATTAGTCCTGACTAGGAAACCACCAAACTCAAACCTTCATCTGTACAGGAAGCAGGGTCCCCTCCCTCTCACTTAAAACTTCAGAATTCCCACTCCGTTTCCTTCTCCATCTCCCTTCAAAAAACTTTTCTGAAGTTCCTGATCGTTGCATTTGGGGTTTCCTGGCGACTCTGAGAAACCCTCGGCCCCATCCCTCCTTTCCTCCCTATTTTCAGCAGCAGCCCCCTCCTCCCTTGCCAACTGCCACCTTAGTGCCCAAACTCAGAAGATAAAGTGGGGTCACCAAGCGCCTGACGGACTCCAACCCCAGCCCAAATTCCTACGGCGCAGGTAGATTCCTGTCGGCCCACAGGGGAAGTGGAGTTAGGAAGAAAAAGGAGAGACAGAGACTGGGACAGACAGACCGTTTTCAGAGTTTTCAAAGCACATCCCTTCGGGCCAAACTCACCTGCTGCGGGACTGGCCCCTGTCGATCCCCTCAAAAGTTTGTCCTCCTCGCGTGGCATTTCCAGAAGGGGCGCACACTCGGGCCCTGGAAGCGGAGCGGGGAGGGTGCTTGGAGGGCGCAGATGCCGGATGGCGTGAGCAGGGGATGGGAGCACCGTTCGCAAAGTAGGGGCCGAAGCAGTGATCCAGAGCGCCTCGGAACGCCGGGGTCAGCGGGCCAAGCCGGCCGCCCCCGGACAGCTAGCGACGGAGCAGGTCGTAAGGAGGGAGTGGCGAACGCCGCCGGGCGGGCCGGGGAACTGGAGAGAGGGTGCCCTGGGTCCCCGGCGCTGTTTCTTCCTTCCTCCAGTTCCCGCGCTCCTGGGTGTGCCCCAGCCCACAACATTCCCTCTACCCCTTTGGCGGCGCTCAGGACCCCGACTTGGCGAAAAGGGAGCGTGAGGGTCGCCCCTTAGCTCCTCCCAGTCCCCCGTGCACAGCTCCCCCTTTCCCTCCCCGGAGCCGAGGGACAGACAGAGAATTGCAACTAGAAATTCGATCGATTGGTGCGAAGGACCACGTGCTCAGGGGCTGGCCAATGACCAGGCCGCCCTGGATGAGCTAATAATGGAAGCAATTTGTAACTTTCAGTAGCTCTCTAGGCCTGGGTACCGCGGGAGAGAGGCGGGAGGAGGAGGGGAGATGGGCACCCCCAGTCCTACCTTCGTTTGTCAGGGTTTCTCGGATCCCCTGGTGATCCTTTCCCCTAACACGCAGGCACTAGCAGGGTCCTTCTCCCACTTTTATCTGGCCGCCACCACCTCTGAGCAAGGTAAGCAGCTCCCAGCTCCTCAAGCCCCACCCGCTCATTTATGGCACCTGCAAAAGATGCTTCCTTTCTTGTCCCATTAGACAACTGAAATTCAGTTTTGTTTTTCTCTTAGTTGGAATAAAAAGAACCCACTTGTATTCTTTTGCGGAATCCAATTTGAACTTAAACTGGTCGAAAATTGAATTCAAATTAATATACTTTTGTGCAAGCATGAGTGGTACTTTTTCATAATTTTACAATCCTTTCTTGGAGAAAGCTTTCTACTTGTGGAAAGTTTACTTTTCTTTCGGGATGAATTTACAAGTTTTAACTCTTTACTGAGGTAGAATTCACCTCCTTTCTCTATTCCATCTCCAGTGTCAGTATTCCAAATGATCACTTTCCAAATTCTAAGTTTATTATTTTTTTCTCTTCCTCGGCTAGTTTTTCAGCGATTACAGAATTTTTGATGGATTTTCTCCCTCTGTGTGTGGAACTTAGTTTAGTTTTGTGTTGGTTCCTCTTTTCATTTTGTAAAAGTATTTATTGTTTGGGAAACTCAGGGTGTGAGGTCCTTTGATTAGTTCCAGCCCCTCTTCCCCCATGAAGAAAATTTTGCTTGAAATAGTTTATGCATTTTCTTATTTTTGTTGTGTCTCAAGTTTGATGTATTTTACCTCCTTTAAAAAGCCTCAGTTTGGGGCTGGGGATCTAGCTCAGCGGCATAAGTGCCTGCCTTGCAAACAGGCAGTCGTGAGTTCAATCCCTGGTACCGATAAAAGTGAAAAAAAAGAAATGAAAAAACCTGACTTCTATTTAATCTTTTGTGTGTTAAACCATTTCTAAGTTATTTTATAACCGTCACCCTTTCACACTCCTTTCCACAGGGCCTCCTCATCCTCCATCTCAGAACCTCCCAGCCCCACCCCCCTTTCCATAATTTCCAGTGCCTCCTCCCCGACCAGCCCCAGGGGTGCGGAAACTGGGAAAAAGCAAATGTCCTTGGTGGGGGCAGAGGCTGTGCTCAGCTGAGTTCTGGATTCTTCCAAGTCTGACCTCTCCAGGGACAAAAAGCAATGAGAACGGCAATGCTTTCAACTTTTAAATTCAGGACTAAGTTTTTTCTACTCGGTCTTACTCTGGGCAACTGTCTGGTATACCAAGCTGAATTTTTAATTCTTGTCTTTTCCCTAAATTCTAAGAAAAATATGAGCCAGATTTTCTTCCTCCCTTCGATATAAGCTGGTGTGTGGGGGAATGAGCCTGAGGGGTCTTTGACCTCCTGGGGAAGAATTCCCAGAAGGGCTATAGTGACGTTGCTTTCTGGAAATGGCACCCCTTTTTTGGCACTCAAGGGAACCCCTTTTTTGTTCTGGTGCTAGCTTTGAACAAAAGGTAGAGAACTGGCCAGGGGACTCATTGCTGGTCAGTGAGAGTTGACTTAGTGAAGTTTGGGGGTAAATGCCCAGTCTGAGAGAATTCCCCATTTAGTATTACCATGAAAGTAAACTATTAAAATTGTGGGATGTATTTTTAACATGTTGATATCTTTTGCAGCTACAAAATAAAATTGCAAGAGTAATTCATGTTTCCTGGAAGACAGTCTGCCTCTGGTGACTTTGTTCCTCTGAGGGACACAGAACCCATGTGAGCAGAAGTCAAACTGCTGCTCCTCCCCTCTCATCCTCCAGCGCCACCCCCCACCCCATTGTTACATTGACATTCTGGGCACATTTGGCCCAGCCCGGTTCCTGCTTCTCTCAAGTATGAATCTAAATTACTATTAATAAGGGGCTGCTCCAAGTTAATTGGCATTAAAAGAATTCATTTCAATTTGTTAATATTAAATGAACACTGTGCACTTTAGCTCCTTTCTTCACCCTGGATTCCCGAATGAGTGATGGGAAGAGGGGCAGGGAGCAGAGGAGGATTGTATTTCTGGCTCTCCAGTTTTACCACCAAGGAGCCTCTTTTCCACCCTGGGGCGGCAGCGGGGGTGGGGTGCGGGCTGCCATCAAGCGCTGGGGGCCTGATTGAGGAGAGTCTGAGGGTCTCAGGCTGGGGAAATTCATCTGAATTTCAGGAGCTGTGGAAGAGGGTGGATAGCAGCTGAGGAAGAGGGACAGAAAAGTTTGGGGAATATGGGAAAGGGACAAAGTTTGTGGGCCCTGGGGTAAAATTCATTTGTGAAAAGAGGTGCTGGTAGTTCAAAGACTATCTGGAGAAGGAGGGGATGAGGGTAAACAGGGGTCCTGAAACTATAGTCTGTGACATTAGACAAGTTGCTTAACTTTTCTGACTGCCTTAGTGTTTTGGCCTGTGAAACAAGGATAGTAAAAATAGAATCTGTCTCAGGGCATCCTTTGGGAGTAGGTGAAGTGCTTGGCACATGGACATTGTTAATAAGTGTGAATTCATTCACCTGTGTTCTGTGGCTGTGATCTGCTCGCCCCTGTCACCCTTCCTGGGATCTAGTCTTGCTCTAGGGCTACATTTGGGGCCTGTAACCTCTGGGGCTGGGGTGCTCCAATTCTTCTCTGGCCTCTCCTCTGGCTTTCTTCGTTGGTGGTGCCTTCTGAGTGGCCAGAACTTCTTCGGGGAATCTCCTCTCCTTCCCATGGTGGGGAAGGAGGTGCTGGTGATAAGGGTCTGGCTTTCTCTTCTAGTAGCTCCCTGTTGGGCAGAGTGTGGGCTGGGAAGACTGATGTGTACTAAATACCCTCTGTGTTGCAGCCCTGCCCGCTGGAGGATGGGAAAAACAGAGCCACAGAGGAGTGGCCTGACTGTGCCACGAAGCTGAACGTTAGCAACGCTGGTATAAGAGGTCTGATCTTTTTTTTTTTTTTTTTTTAATTAAACAGGAAAAAAGAACACACAATTTTTCTTTTAAGGCATAGGACTATTTGACTCATGATAACAAATCTTCATCTTTTCCTTGCTGTGCACTTTTTAAAATAGGAATTGGGACTTTCAGGAGGGAGAGTGGGTGAGACACTTGGGGTAAGGACTGGGCCAGGATCATGGGGCAGCTGCAAGCTGGGGAAGGGGAAGAGAAGTTGGGAATTTTTCAGTCAGGGAAGACTTCCTGGAGGAAGAGACTACAAGTCAGGTTCAGACAGGAAGGGAATGAAGATACAAAGAATCAGGAGGGAGCTAGATGAACTGGCATATGGCTATAATCCCACAAAAAAGACCAAATATGTAGCTAGTAGTTGAGTGCTCCATTTGTCTAGGGTGCTCAAGGCCCTGGGTTCAATCCTTAGTACTGTAAATTAATAGTAATAACATTAATAGGAATGGGAAAGAGTTGTGCATTGGCTAGGAAAGGAGGGAAGAAATGACCGACCCATACAAAGGCTGGGTGAGAGCAGAGGGTATGAATAAGATCACCCTTGCTGGTTTGGGGATTTAGCTCAGTGACATAAGCGCCTGCCTGCCAAGCATGAGGTTGTGACTTCAATCCTCAGTACCAAAAAAAAAAAAGATTGGCCTTGCTGGTGGCAAATATAATTAGTTAGCATTTGCTGAGGAGGAACTATCTCATTTAATCCTCACAACAATTTTGACAAGTAGGTATCTCAATCCTATTTCCAAAGACTCAGTTGAAGTTAGAATGTTTAATGCCCACCTCAGTTGATGAGTTGATGTTCAGAATGTTTAATGCCCACCTAAGGTTTTTTTTTTTTTTTTTTTTTTTTTTTTGAGATAGGGTCTTGCTCTGTAGCCCAGCTTTTGAACTGAATGGTAATCCTCTTGTCTCAGCCTCCCAAGTGCTGGCATTACAGGTGTGTGCTGCCATGCATGGTCACACAGTTGGTGGCTGGATTTCCTGGCACCAGTTCCTATGCCTGCTGCCAGCTGAGCGTGACCTCCCTGCCTTGATCCTTTATGTTCAGGTCATCATTCCTGTACTTACACATCTGTAGACACACCAGTGGTGGAGACAGGGGTCAGGAAGTGGGGTAAGAGCAAGGGAGAGTGGCAGGCAAGCAGTGAGGATGGAGGCTCTTCTCACAGCCGTGTGAGGCGGAAGGATAGGAGGACATTCTCTCCGGAGGAAGGCTTCCAAATCATTTTCCTGGGACTGTTGATCTTGAGATGAATGGCAGAGGCCAGATTGGGGTCACATTAGGCTGTGGCCTTTAGTTCTTTTTCTGTGGAAAGAAGATGGCTCGGGTGTGGGTTTGAGCCCTAGATAAAGGTGGTCAGTGGTCTACTAAAATCCCTCCTCTCTTTGTTGTAGGAAGGCAGAGAATGACCCAGCTGGACATCCATTTCCCAGTTACCTCTTGTTACTAGCCAAGGCCAGTAGGGAATGAGAGCCTGAGGGCACTGGTAAAGTCTTTGTATTCTCTTTTTCATGTGCTGGACAGATGGACTTGAGGCTGAGTTTGACCACGGTGCTTGAGGAGCCATCTCTAAGAAGGGCAAAGCAACAACATGAAAGGAACCTACGTTCCAGGTTGACCATGTGAAGCAGAGCTCACTGTACCCAAGACTACTTCCTTCCAATTGTTCTGTGAGAAATAAACTATTTTCCACATGCTAGTGTGTTTGGGGGCCTTTTTTATTATAACATTGCCATGATCTTTCCACACCAAACCTGTCTAGTTCACATTCACTAAAAGGATTCCAGGAAATAACTATCTGAATAAAATTGACTGAGCTAGATACTGTGGTAAGGTCTCTAAGTACACCATTCAATATCATCTCATGACATTC